ACATCCCAAAGTTTAAACTGGGCAAAATCAAGACGGAAAGCATGGACCATCCCGTGCACACAGTACTCTCTGCATTGGCCACAGGAAAGCCAGCAGGTTCCAGCATCAGGTGCCATCGAAACCTCTGAAGTCATGGACCCTAGCACCCTCTTCCTTCCCACCCTCCCTCACTCCTCCTTGTGATAAGTGGCCTTGTCCACACTTTGGGGAGAACTCTTCCTGCTGATCTGGACTTGATCTCACAAGAACACACAGCTAAACAGTCAGGATATGGCCTGGTGGGAAGCAGGGAGCCAGGAGGGGTTCCAGAGCCCTCAGAGGGAGGTACATACCCCCAACACTGTGTCTGTGAGCAGATTCTCCATTGGAACCCGAAGGCCAGGACCCCATACCCAGGATCGAGCAGGCAGAAGCCAGGCTCCATCAGTTGCCCTGGGTGGGTGTGGCACAAACAGTCACTCACCCCAGTGCTGCTCTGGTTATTCCCTGGATTGTTTCTTTAAGTAGAAATTCCAGGGAAATGGAGAGGGCATAGGCAGAGAGGGTGTTGCTGTGTTTACAAAATAGAACAGTGTGAGAGCCGTACTGTGGCTCACAGCACAGCGCTTGCTTAGCACTAGTGAGGCTCTGGGTTTGATCCCCAGCATTAAAACGAAAGATTAAAAACAAAGCATATCCAGAATCCATGAAAAATCACCTTCTAGATTGTTGGATTGCAAAGGATTTCAGATTCTAAAGTGTAAGATCAAACATCTGACCACTGTGTGCTTATTATGGGATTCTTCAGGAGGCTTTGTTGGGTGCCCTGGTGGGCAGGGGCAGGGGCAAGGGTGTAAAGTGCCACATACATTGGCAACTTTCAAAAATTAAAAAAACCATCTTGTAGCCAGGCATGGTGGTACACACCTGTAATTCCAGCACTTGAGAGGCTCAGGCAGGAGGAACGCTGTGAGTTCAAGGCCAGCCTGGACTACACAGTGAGACCCTTTCTGGTAAAAAAAAAAAAAAAAAAGAAGAAACAAACAAGCAAAACAACAACAATAATAACAAAAAAGAGATGAAAACTGTCTCGGCTAGTCTATGGCAGCATTAAGATATGCTTTGTGTTAGACAATGTTTCCATAAGGAAAACAACTGTCTTCTGAGTTATCCTTCAGTACTAAATAATGAAAGACCCAGAAAAACAATAAATGTCAAATTCCTGATCTGAATTCCATGAACACAAGGATGCTTGTTTTATGATGTACTTGGAACTTTTCTGTCCACCCAAGGAGACCATATCAAGCACCCTGTCTGTGGCATCCGTGTCAGATGCTGGGAGACTGAGACCCAGTGCCCAAGCTCCAAAAGAGCTCCAGCCTGCCTCTAGCTCCAAAGACCTGAGGTCACTGTAAGGCCCTATCTTGCCCTTTAATGTCAAAACACACCAGAGACCACCTGGTTGTGCAGGCCAGGATGGCAGGCTGCTCCAGGTCCACAGATCACACTGGCCTGGGGATGGGGACACTGTGGCAGTGCCAGGGCCCTGCTAGGAACATGTGAGCAACCTCCTGGTACTGCCAGCCAGTGCCACCTGCCCTCACTCATGGGCCCCCTCCACCTCTATGGGCAGTGAGCTTATGCTCCACCTGCCTGGCTTCTGTTTCTGGTGGCCCAGGCTGGCCTTGCCCTGTGACATCCTCAGTGTCCCTGAACAGCTGGCCCCATGGTATGCTTGAGTGGGGCAGGTGCACCCCAGCGAGTCAGGCTTATATGCTGCTTTCCCACACTCACACGAGAGGCCACATTCCGTGGGCTCCGACTGCACCAATCAAACTCAGCTCTGCTCCCTTTTGGCCCCACAACCTCAGTATTTGGGGCTCCAAGGACACTCCTGGTCATCCCAAGAGCTGAACTTGAAATCCACGACTCAGGGTGCTGGAGGAGATTCCCTGGACTCACCCCAAAAGTCAACACCTCCTGAAAGCCAGCTCTCCATGGCTGGAGGAAGCACACACTTTCTGTTCAAGATGGTCCCCTGAAGGAAGCGTCCTCTCAGATTTATGCCACCTGAGTGAGCAACTGGTAAATGCAGCTTGGTGAAATTCTCACAATAATACTACACCAAAGTATATAATAGCTAATGTTTTTGTTCTCTCAGACCACAGGAACTTTGTTGGGTTTTTGGGGTTTTTTTTGGTACCAAGGATCAAACTCAGGACCTTGCGCTTGCAAGGCAGGCTCTGGAACCACTGAGCTAAATCCCCGGCACCACAGGAACTTTGTACCTCATGGCAGCTGAGACTACAAGACACTCCAGGCAGGTTGACTTTACCAAGAAAGAGGCCAATTAAGCTTCTGTTCTGGAGATTCCAGAACATGGGACTGGACCGCATGCCCGATAGCAGGAACAGTGTAGGGCAATGTTACACTAGCAAAAAGCATTGAGAGGAAATGGAGTCCCTAGATCCTTTCTGAGGGCAGCATCTCCAGTTGACCTAACAAGTTCCTGCCAGGCCTCACCTCTTAAAGGTCCCAGTGCTGCCATACTGAGCACCAAGCTCCCAACATGCAGGACAAAGCACATCTGAGTGGCACAGGCCCCTTGCAAGTCTCAGAGACTGGGAGCAGCCCTTGGGCAGGACAGGGGTAGAAAGCAGGCCACTTGGTGCCCAGACTGAGTTTCTCCAATGTTCTGCTGGGCACTTCTGCTGGCAGTTTAGACAGCGCTCCATGCAAGATGTGGTTTACAGCCGGGTCATACTCAGCAGGCTGCCCAGGCTCAGAGGAAACACTGGGCTGTGGTCCTAGGGAGCTCCATGGCCAGCACCCGGGCTATCTGTGGGCCATCTGTGGACAGCACTGGGGCCACCACTCACCAGGAACCTTGAGCAAGCTACTTTGGTCGCTTTATGCCTCAGTTTCTTTATTTGTAAAAGTGAGGCCACTGAATATGTGTAACTTCTATAGGAGGCGGGATCACTGACCTGTGTCCCACTGAGGAAACTGAGGCACCAAGACATTTGCCCCATAGAGTGCTAACCTTCCCAGAATCCTCAGGTAGCTTAACCAGATAAGGAGCCGAAGCTGGGATGGGACCAAATAAGGAAATTGAGGCATCAAGGCCAGGCAAGTCGAGGGACCCAGAGGCGACTTTAGGCAGCCTAGCTCTGGTCCCTTCCACTTTTCCTCATGGTGCATCTGTGAGTCTGAGCTGAACAAGGCGGACATCAGGCCTGGGCAGTGCTTGTGGCAGAGCCCAGCACCAGGTCTTGTCATCAAGCTGTCACATGAGCACATCTGAGAGCAGGGCAGGATGGCAAGCACCGTGGAAATTCAATTCTACCACATATGGTCTTAAAAACGTGCAGTGAAATAAACCTGAAAACTTGAAAATTTCCTTTCTACGAATGCAGAGAATGAAATATTTTTCTTTGTGTTCTGTTGCATGGATGTTTAGCTGTTGGCTAGGCATTTCTGTGTGTCTAAGGCTTCCTGCAAATGTCTTCGAATCCAGGTCACCTTCAACACACTTCAAAGCCACTTCCGTCTAATAGGTGGTTGTAAAACACACCTAAGCAGAAGCAGCGCCGAAAGCATGAGCTGTACTTTCGGTAGCGTTTTCAAGACCGCTCTCCTGATAATACGCCCAAATTGTGAATCATTACTTCCCCGAACTCATGCAAGAGCGCCTGCCATAAACTGGCCGCAGAGACAGGGAAATGGTTAGACCAGCTCCAAAGGACCCCACTGGGTATCGGAAAGGAAACGAGAATGATTCTTCATTTAAAATCAGAAACAACATTTAACATTTCTTTCCAAAGTTTAAGCCATGCTAAGACATCATACATCTGAGTGCAACCTAAAAACCAGACTTTTCTCTAAACTAAACCAGAGCTTTTCACCTGGCTCGGTTTTTCAATTCCTGCAATAGTCAGGGCTCTGGGTCACTCACAAACTCCACTGCCCCTACTGAAGGGGAGCCAGCACCTGCCCGAAGACCTCCTGTGCCGGGACAGTTTCTTCCTCAATCCTGCCAGGACTCAGGGCTCCTGGGTCCTCTCCCCAGCAGTCGGGGCTCAGACCCTGGCTTCCGCCTGGCTCGCCCAAGGGCAATTGGGCCCCTCCCGCACCAGGGCCAGACCCACTGCTGACCTCCTTTGGGGATGGGTGGGTTCCTGGGGCTCCGGTGCCCGTGGAATGTCCCAACCCATTCCCAGTTTGGGGTCCCGGTCCTGGGCTCTCCCTCTGGGGCTCTGGTCCCTGCTTGGTCCTGTCCCCTCTCCCGGGGCCCTCCCTTCGGCCGGGTTTGGCGCCAGCCCCTGCGGTCCCCTCCGGTACTCACGGCGGCTCCGGGAAGAAGCTGGCGGCAGCGCTGGCGGGCGAAGAGTGGGACTGCGCCGCCCCAGTCCCGCGCGTCGTTTGACCAAATAAGGACACGCGGCCGGGCGGGGCGGGAGCAGGGGAGGGCGCAGGGGCTGGCCGCGTCGGGCCGGGAGCGGGTAGGGGGCCGGGCACTGGGTGGGGACGGCACCCTCGGCCGGGCTGGCTCGGACCTCCCTCACGCTTTGTTTCCCGGCGACCCCACACCCCTCAGGCCTCGCGCACCGCCGTCCCCGCGCGTCGCCCCCGTGTGGGCTTGGGGCTGCCAGACGGAGGAGGTCTTCTCCTTACCCGTATGTCTCTTGGTCACCACACCCACCCGAATGAAGAAACGAGTGAATAAAGGCTCTGGCTGTAGCGAGGAGGGGACTGGGGACGGGCTGGGAGGACACTCCCCTGCCCGGGGCAGGACCTGAGCGTGCCTTCCGTGGGCCCAGCGGGGCCCCGCGGCGCGCGGCTCTGACAGGGGCTCAAGTCGCTGTCCTGGCCCCAGCTGGGCTAGGATTTCCTGATCAGGCCCACGTGCGCCCGAGGGGAAGACAGTCTTGCAGACTCTGGCATGGCAGGAATTCGGAATTCTAGATGCGTTGTTCCGTCATTTGGGACACTTGCGGGGGGGGGGGGGCTCAGGGTAAAGACCCTCCAGGGAAGGTGTCCTGCTTCTGGCTACTATCCCGTGTCTGGTCATGGGAACCTTACCCTGTGAGGTAAGATTATCACACACACACACACACACACACCCTTTCATCGTGAGGAAATTGAACTCAGAGAGATTTGTCCTAGGGAACAGGGTGGCCACATAGCAGCTGAGATGTGCACCAGGATCGCCCAGGACAAGGCCATGCTAGGACCTTACAGGGTCAGAAATGCCACACTCATCAGACACTAAGGGGACCCCAAGGCTGAGCCTTGCTGCAGACAGGAGTCTAAAACCAGAACAGATATGGGGATCACCCTCCCCCCAACCCACCTCCTAGTCCCTGAGGCCAAGATGGAAGGGTCCTCACTCCTGAATCCTGGCCAGGGCAGGCCAGGACCTAGGGACTCAGCTCCTTGTGCAGCAGGCTACCCATATCCACACTTTGCAAATTTGTTGTCTGTCTGGGTGCAAATTGCAGAATGATCCCCTCTTCCAAGGAGAGCTTTAAGCTTCAGTTTTAGAAACAAGATTACAAAATGATGAAATATTCATAGTGTACTTAGCCCTTTCTGGTTTCTTTTGTCTTCCTTTTGTTTAGAGTTGTGTGTTCAATTCATTTACTTTTACTTTTTATTAATATAGTTATTTAGTGTTACAGTTTTCCTTCTAATAACTGCATTCCCTGTGTCATATGGATTCTGGTACGTTGTGCTTTCCTTTTTTTTTTTTTTTTTTGGTACCAGGGATCGAACTCAGGCGCTGGAACCACTGAGCTAAATCCCCAGGCCCATGTTGTGCTTTCTTTATTGACAAAAATCCTGCACTTCAGATGTGTGTTTCCCTTTTAACCTTAGGAATATTTTACATGACTCTGTAGGGATTTAGTCAGCAAAGTCCAGTGTCTGGAAACAAACTCCCAGTTTCTACAACAATACTGCAAAAAGAAAAAGAGGAGAGATAAAGGGAGGCAAAAATAAGAAGTAGATCACAAAAAGAAGTAGAAGTAACTGAAATGTATGGATCTTACTTGGATTCTAATCAAAGAACAACTATTTAAAAATAAATTTTTATGAGACAAGTTGGGAAAACGTGGCATTGACAGGATATTTGATGGTATAATAAATGATCATTTTAGGCATGATAATGAAGTTACACGTATATTTTTCCTTTTTTATTTTAAGCTTTTACTTTTCATGAACAGTGTCAAAATATTTACTAGTAGAGTAACATTACATCTGGGGTCGATTCAAATAAATGCAGTTGGGGATATGAATATATGAGACAGCATTAGTAGGGCTGACTGGTAACCATTGGAGCTTAATGACAGCTATCTGTAGTTCCTTTTGCAATGCTTGAGAAACGAGAAAAGTTTTTACATTGCAAACAAACACATCCTTCACCATTCCTAGCATTTCCCCTACAGGAACTTTCCTGCAGAGGTAGCTGTTCATGAATACACTGATAACACGGCCAAGAGTCTCCCTGTAGAATTCTAACAGCAAAACCCTCAGACCATATTAGACATTCACTAACAGAGGTGCACAGCTGTTGAAAAGAAGGAGGTAACTACATTTACTGATTCAGTGTAATCTTTGAGATAGAACAACTGAGAAAAATACAAGTAGAGAACACTTCATTGTACTGACCCTCTGTGCTCATAAACAAAGGGAGGAAGAGAAACAGTACATACTTAGGAGTCCTTGCCTCTGAGAAGGGCTGAGTGGCTAGGAACAGGGGAGGAGAGGAAGGTTTACTCTACACACTTGTGTGTGTAAGAAACAGAGAAACATTTTTGAGCTATGTGAATGTATTCTCCATTTGAAAAATAAAAATATTTAAAAAGTAAAAGTAGCACGTGCTCCTTTAAGAAAAATAGGAAACACATTCTTTAGGCTGAGATCAATACAAAGTTAAGGGAGGTTGTAGAAACAGAAGATGGGGAAATGCAAAGTAACAGATGCTTGTATGAACAATCACAGGACACATTTTAATGAGTCAATCTGGGAGAACGTGTTTTGAAAAGTTCTGTCTTGTACACTGAAGGATTCCCAGGATCTACCTACAGTGCATGGTGTGCAGTATGTGCTTAGTTAACGTAGGCATTGAATGCACTGGCAGATCCTAGAGGAGCAGCCTGGTAAGCATTTCATTTTGTGATTGTTTGGCTGCATAGCAGATGGAGTATTCTCAAAAGAGTACTTGATCTCTAAGTCAGGCCTGGATCTAAGTACCTGTCCTGCCTCTGGCTAACTCTATGACTAACTCTATGACCTCAGGTAACCCCAAACCTCCCTACCCCTCCATTTGCCTGTTTGTAAAATGGCCCCATAACACAGAGTTTGTAAGCTGTTGTGAAGATCTCTATAGAGTTGATGCATACGAACCCATTGGCTCCGATACCACTGTCCTTGGCACAAACTAGGTCCTCAGTAAATGTTTGCTTTTATCCAAGAGGAAAGGAGAAATGAATCTAAGGTAGAAAGGAATGAGACTGCATTCATTACAGTTTAGGTCCTGTTCTGAAGATAAAAGTCATCTCTAGACAGCCTCGAACCCCAAGCTCTAGATAAAAGGTTAGTTCAGAGAAGGGAAAAAATGAGAAACATTTTCCTGAGGGTTGGGATGGCGACATCGACAGGTCAGCAGGGTTTTCTTTTGTCTCTTCCAGTGCTTCAGTAACTCATTCATTGATTTCTCTCTCTCTCTCTCTCTCTCTCTCTCACACACACACACACACACACACACACACACACAAACACAGGTACACGTGCCATAAGGCCACACAGGTGGGGATCAGGAGAGACAGGAGGACCCTCCCTGGGGGTAGCCAGGTTTTCAAACCCTGGTGCCACCCAGCTGCAAGAGGCCTGGACACTGTGAGGAAAGCCTGTAATCCCAACAGTCTAGGACAATGAGGCAGGAGAATTCCAAATTCCAGACCAGCTTGGGCAACTTAGCAAGACCTGATCTCAAAATAAAAAATATAACAAAAAGGTTGGGTATGTAGCTCAATGTGAAGGCTCTGGGTTCAATTCCCAGCAACCACACACAAAAAGAGGGGCACTGTCAGTGCCTGGGGATGCTTGCAATGGCTCAGTAAATACCCCTTGGGCTTCTGACTGACTCTAGTTTACCAGGAGCCTGACAGCAAGATCAGTTTCTGCAGTGTGATGGCCCAAGCACAGACCTGATCTGGGAACGCAAAACTCCAGTTGCAGGTCTGTATTTCCATCCTCCTACTGATGGCACACACAGGTGGAGCCTGACCAGGGGAAAGTTTCAGCTGGGGTTGAACAGCCAGTTGCTGGAATCTCACTTCCTTGGCACCTCTGCAGTGTGCTCCAGGCTGCTCCTGTGTTGGGGTCTGGTGAGGGCAGGGGTACAGGCCTACCCACCTGAAGGCCACAACCTAATTGTACCAGGAAGAAAGGGAACCCATGAAAACCAGAACTAGACGAGATCTCTGAGTGGCTGCATGAAGCACTTTGCCCCCTTTAAGAAAGAAGACGTCCCCCAGGCAGATCCTCCTGCTCCAACCTGGTCAGGCAGGCAGGAAACAGTGCATGGTTTGCCATTGATTGAGAGGTAATTGCCCTTAATTGCCTCACGTGGTTAGAAAGTGAGTAAGTGTCCAAGACCATAAAAGCTGGGGTGGGGAGGGCAGCCTCAAACCTTGCTCTCCACCGTGGGGTTAGAGCTCTCTGGCTGCCCCTGGGGCAGTAGTCAGAAGGCTGGGCTTGCTCCTCCTGAAGACACTGCTTTTTTGGACCCTGCAGGAAACATCCACAGAGAATGAGTCTAGGCACCCACCTGTGCACCTGAGCTCCTCCAGCCAAGGGAGGAGCCAGAAGCAGCCACAGCAAGATATTGCTGGATCCCAGCTTTGTTCCTCCGCTGCCCAGGAGTCTCAGGCACAGCTCAGCTGGCAGGAAAGGCCGACTCCTTCCCTGCTTCCCGCTCTGCCTCTGCCAGGCTCTGGGTAGGAGAAAAAATGCCAGCTCTTTCTTGAGAGGCAGAGTTTCCATCCCCCATTTTCACAACCAATTACACGGAGGCAGAGTCATCTACATCTGAGGTGGACCCTGAAAAGTTGGCTTCTTATTTGAGTTTTTTTAACTGACGCATAAAAATTATACACATTCTGATTTCCTTTTGTCTCTGAGTTGATCTTTTCTGGAGCTACCTATTTACTTCTCTCCTTGCCTTTGTGGGCAGCTCTGCCCTCTTTTGTCATCTGTCAGCAATTCCCAGGTAAAAGAAGTGTGACTGTCCTGGTCTCTGCAAACTGGCCCAAGTCCCTTCTGTATGAACTCTGTTAGTCGTTAAGATCCATGAAAACACTTCTTCCTGTAGCCTCTGATGCTTCCCAGAATCCCGAACCCAGGGGAGTCTCCTGTCTCTTCCAATGGGTCCTCAGGATGTTAATTAAAGGTGCACTGAAATCTGCAACTTTATGAGTCAGTGTTGTGACTCTAAACCCTCAAGTTCTCTGCTGCCACCAAAGTCCTTCTGCAGTACTTTTGCTATGATCTGGGCATCAACAGAGAGCCTCTGTGGCCCAGGTAGGAAGGGGTTGGGAACAGAAGGACCTGAAACTCCAATGGAGATGTGTCAGCTTCCTGTCACTATCACAAATGCTAGAGGTGACCTGCTGGTGCAGAGAAGGGATCATTCTAGCTCACAGCTCTGGAGGCTCCAGCCATACTGCTTTTCCACACTGCTGCAGGCCTATGGTTAAACAGCTCGTGAAAGCGTGGTAGAACAGAGCCACTCACTCAGCTCATGGCCAGGGAGTGAAGCCCTCCCACTAGGGCCTGCCTCTTAAAGGTTCCACCACCTCTCAACACCACCAACCTGGGATCAGGCTTTTAACACAGGGCCTTTCGGGGTACTCTTAAGATCCAGTCTCTAGAAGTATAGTGCATGTGGCCACAGGCGAGTCTCTTCTCCTTCGTGTCTTTACCTCACCTGTGGAACAAAGGATGGAGTCCATCTCTTCTTACTTTTTGCCAGGTATCAAGCTTTTCCTGGAGTCATTTTTATGCCCACTCGCTTCCTGTGCATAATTCTGTGCCATGGTACAGGTCTGTGTGTAATGAAAGCTATGCTGGAACTTGTGCAGAAAGCAGGCTGAGGACCCTCCCATGGGCCTCTTCCCACTCACCACCGGATGGCCAACAGTTGAACACCAGGATTTCATCACATGTCCCACCTTTGGCATCTCCTGGCAGAACTATTTGCCCAAAAATAAAAAGAAATAAAATTCCTTGACCATCCCAAGTATGTAATATTTCTGGAATCTTCTGCATAGTGGAGGTGCCAAGTGATTACTGTGTCACCATTACAGCTTACTCGTCACCTCCCAGAAGGCCAGAGGGCCACGGGGCAAATTGCTGGCAGATTGCTGCCTTTTTCTTTCTTTTTATTTTTTTCCTTTGCCTCCTCACCACAATCTTGCACTGGGTCTAAAGGGAAGCAAGCTGCTGGCTGGGTGACTGCACGATGACTCACCTGCCGCCCCCACCCACCCTGTCGGATGACAGTCTCTTTCCCTGTGTGCTGTGCTCCTATTGGTCCCCTGGGTTTCCAGGTAATGCTAAAGGCAGAGGGAGAAAAGACTTGAGAGATTTCCTTTATCTATGAATGTGCTTGGAAAATTACCAGGACAGGAAGCAGGGACTGAGATCCTGAGGGGGAGAGAGTCTCAGAGAGGCCTTCCTGTACATTGTCTGTGACCCCGCACGCTCTGCTCACAGCACTCATGGGAAGGTAGTGCTGTGTGTGTGTGGGTGTGTGTGTGTGCATGCGCACATGCACACTGGGCATCAAACCCAGGACCTCATGCACCCCGAGCACATGTTCATTCTATCACTGAACCCCACCCTGCCCTCTTCCCAGGGGCTCCTCAATGCCTTCCTGACTCTGCCCACCTGGCAAACCTCTCTCTCCTTCAGACCAGACATACTACCTGGGCCCTGGTGTGCTGTGGGGACCCACTGATGGCCCGCTGTTTCCTGTTTCTATAACAAAAGAGGACAGATCGTGACCCCTGTGGCAAGGATGGACCTATGGGTCTCTGTGTTTGTAGCACTCTGCAATTCGGTCAGGATTCACTGAATTTAACTGGCTATCTCAAAATGCCTAGTGCAATATAAGGCTGCCATATGCAGTTTGTGCAGAAGGAGGAGGCCCCTTGAGATGGAGCCACTCAGGCCACTTCCTGCCTGGCAGCTCAATTTTCTGAGTTTGGCTTTGAGACCCCTCACCCCCAGCAATGTAACAGAAGCAAAGTCGAAGAGCCTGGCCTTGGGCACAGCTCTCTCCCAAATGGAAGTAGCCTAGGCTGCAAGGAGGCTGAGGGGACAGTCACTTGTGGGGTCCTGGGACAGAGCTGCCTGGGGAGGCTAGCTTCTCTTTGTTGGAGAGGGTGCTTCACTTGCCTCCACTGGGGCACCCTGGATGTCTCCATCCTGTACTCCGACCCAGCCTTCATTTGTAGGAACCAAATCTGGTGAATCTATGTCTCTACATTCTGCTTGGAACACATTGGCTTTCTACTGAATGCTTTCAAAAGCTGTCTGTACAGATGAAAACATGCAGAATAAAATCACAATTCTGCCTCCATCTCTGCTCCCTTGGTTCTCTCTCTTCACTGCAGGTCTCTGGTAGAAGAAGGTCCACCTGCCTGTCTGGTGACCAGGGTGCTACTATAGCTGGCAGAGACCCCTTCCATCCTCTGAACTGCTGATGGGCACTGGGCAGAGGTGGCCTTCCTACCTCGGCTCTGAGGCTGACTTCCTGGGGGCGAGGAGCTGGAGAGTGATCCTCATCCTCTCACCCGGAAGTGGAAATGCTCCCCAAGGTGGCCCAGATGGTCAGGCTTGCACCCTCCTGCCTGTCCGTGTACACACCCACACCAGCCTGGGGATTTCCAAGTTCTATAATCCATGTTGCCATGAGCATCCAGGCTACCCAGAGCACCTCCCACCCAGCTGGCCCCGTTGGTGCTTGCAGAACCATAGCCTGCCTCTGGCCAGCTAGTGTGCTGAGAAACTCACTTGCAAGTAGCAGCAGGAGCAGAAAAGGTGCCTCTCCTGGCTTGGGTGGAGCTAACTTAGGCGACACTGAGTGTAACCCACCTGTGGTGGTGTGAGTCTGGGGGGTTCCCCCATGCATCCATAGCTTGGTATATTGGGAGATGAGCCCTTTAAGAGGTGGGGCCTGGCAGGAGGTCATAGGTCATTGCAGATGTGTTCTTGCCAGGGGCAGGGCTCCAGCCTCTTCCTCTCTTTTCCTCCTGGCTGTGCAGGAAGCAGCTTTGCTCCCTCACCTGCTCCCGGTGTGGCCCTGGCCTCATCTGAGACTCACAACAGCTGGGCCACAGACAGAACCACAAGCCAGAGCCCAAGCAAACCTTTCTCTCTCCTGTGCTATTTATCCTGGGTGTTTTGTTTCCATGGTGGAAAGCTGACTGACACATGATCCTCGAAAGCAGAGCTTAGAGGCACAGTCATCCAGCATCCCACTGCCACCTTCTCCTGTTTTTTCTCTCTCTTTCTTTCTGTCTCTCTTCTTTCTTTCTTCCTTTCTTTCTTTCCTTCCGTTCTTCCTTCCCTCTCCCTCCCTCCCTCCCCCTCTTTCTTTCTTTCTTTCTTTCTTTCTTTCTTTCTTTCTTTCTTTCTCATGTCTTTGTTTTTGACAACTGACAGGGCAGCAGCAGAGGCTGCCACCAGGAGCTTGGCAGCTGGAGAAGTGGCAGCAGGAAGGGCCAGGAAGCTGCAGCATGAGAAGAGGGCTCTGGCTCCAGATGGGCTTTGGACACCGAGCTATGCTCTGGGCCTGTGGGCTGTGCAGTCCCTGAGGGAGCAGACAGTGACAGCATGTCACCGAAAGCCATCCAAGGCCAATGTTAGCCACCACTGTGTTCACTGTTGGAAGCCTGTTTCCGTCACATCACTATAATGGGTCTCTCCTCAGCCCTTCCTCCCAGAGTAAGGGGCTGGGGAGGTGCTGTCCATTTGAAGCCCTGTGTGGGTCCCTCTGGAAAAGCAGGGGCCAGGGGACCAACTGCCCAGGTCTCTGCCAGCCAGGATGATCTGGATGCAGCATCAGAGCTGGTGCTGAGCCACCTGGGCGAGGGTACCCTGTAGAGGACTGGGGAGCCAGAAACAGAGTCTTCGATTTGGAAGGCAGCAGGACCCAGGGCTCAGGGTCATGCCAGAGTCGGTTAGCAGTTTGCTGACCTAAGTCCAAACCAGAATGAGAGCCAGAACCAGGGCGGAGGGTGGTGTGAGAGCTTAGTCTCTTGGATGGAATCTGGATGCGGCCAGTGAGGCAGCAAGGTCTTAAGCCTGGGACTTTGTGGCAGCTGTTTGTTCACCCTCTGGAGCCTCGTCTAGTGGCCCCCTGCATCATCCTGACAGAAATGGGGTGTGGCAGGAGCACAGATAGCCCCGAGGAGCTGCACAATGAACTCTTTTCCCTTCTCTGTGGTTAGTATCTGGGCAAATGGAGAGAAGAGGGTCAAATTGACTGTGGGTCTGTTTAATGAAGTGTCTGTTTTAATCAGATGCTCCTTGATAGGTTGCCCTTGGATGTTGGTAAACTGCCTGCAGCGGGTTTGTTGGGGCTGTGCAGTCTGCTGGCTCTGGGAAACAAGTCACACTTTATGCTGTTTGCTGACGGCAGAGGCCCAAGCCCATGCTTTGGAAAGAAGCACTCTCAGAAGTGAGGGGTACAGGTCATCCTTTGCCTCTTCATACTGCGGGACCAGAGGGCCCACGTGGGGGCAGCAACACTGACAGTGATAGAAACACTGCCATGTGCAAGGTGAGGGGAGCAGAACTAAGCAGCCTGGCAAGGCAAAAGGCGACTGTAAGAGCCATGGTGACAGCTGCTGGCTCCTAGAAAAGCCAAACAGTGCAAACCCGGGAAGCTACCGGCAGTGGGTGACACTGACCTCAAAAGAGATGCCAATCCCAGCACAGAGAAGGTATGAGAGTTTCACGGCCTTCAGCATTTCCAAAGCCTCCACCACCTTGGCCCTGAGTTATTGGCTGGTTGATTGAACCCTTGTGAAATTTAAAGGGTGAAAAGAGCAGAACAAGAACCAATGTGAAAGAATTATAGACCCCAGGACCACTGCCACATGATTTCACTTTACATTAGACTTCAGATATTTAGATTCAGTCATTCTAATCTTGGAAACAAAACAAAATAAAAACCTTATCCTAAAATTAAGGTAGGGTGCTCCCTGCTTTATCCTAAAATGTACACAAAATCAAAGTATCCTGGCATAATTTCCTAGTATTATCTTTGAGTTAGCCTTAAAATGTGACTTCTTGAAAGAAAAATAATTGTAGAGAGAGTATTATCAATGATCCACGACACAAGCATTGAGAGCCACTTTTTGTTGTTTTGATGTGGGGTCAAATCCAGGGCCACATCTACCACAGAGCTGTGCCCCTAGCCTGAAAAAATATTAAAGGAAG